ATTTTACAATGAGCCATGCTGGCAATAAGTGGAAGAAAGTAAAAACCATACTGAAGATAGTGATTGAACAAAAAAATATTTCTGGACAGGTTAATGTCCAAAACTTTCGGTGCCTAAGCTCTGTAATTGACAACCTCTAGTTAGTGACAACACTCCTTTCCTCAGTGCATAGCTCAAGACAAGGCAGAGTAGAGAGAGCCTGGGAACAAGGCTGTGCAATCTTGTGCCTTTGTATCGATCATTTATTTGCTCTTGCTTGCAAGCATATTATGGTCAGATTTTGGTACCTGCTCAATAAACAAGGTTCCACTGAATTTATACTTAAAAACGGGACTACAGTGTAAGTGTACCTCTAAGCCTTTGTTGTTGTACAGTGTCAGTCTCAGACATGTCTCTGCTGTCACTTTGGTTAGCTGCTGACTGTGCATGTGGGACCATAGGTTCTCCTGAACTTCTTTGTTGTGTTCTGCTCCTTCTTCTAGGCAACCTATGGTGTTCTAAAATTTAAAAGATATACAATGGTTCACTTCATTTACATCCTAGGATAGTCTTGCAGTTGAAGGGTTTTGCTAGGTGCATAACTGGACAAATTCTAGCTTTAAATATGGACTTCCCACTGAATTAAATGACGACACTGATGATGATGATATACTGTTTTAATAATGATTGTACATTACAATTTGACCTAATGCAAACTTCTTAAAACAAAATCTGATGCTTCCTTTGAATACAATCATTTATTCTTAATGTGCTCTAAGCATCAATGTTACGCATATACAGTGTAATGCATATGGTTGTTAAACAAGTGACAAAAAGTAAAAAAGTACAAGAGATGCAAAATAGTCTTAGAGTGTCTTGCTTAATCATTGCTATTATAAAATACTTAGTACATATGGGTGATCTATAAAAATGAACAACAACGAAAGCTTAATCCAACTAAGCTATGGGCTCGATAAAACAATGGGCCCCTGTGGATACCGACAATGTTGCTGAATGGGCTACTGGCTGGTAGAATAAAGTTACTTTAGTTATTAGTAAACTGCAGCTAACTGCAAAGCTGACTGGAAATTTTTTTGCTCGCTTAAGCAGGCACAATCCTTCTTAATTTTGAAAATGCTACATGAAAGTGACTTGGCCTTTAAGCGGGCCCTTCTGAAATAGGTACTGGGATCCTGGTGAGCTTCTGTCAAGAATCCCGGCACACACTGCGGATTCTGATGTGATCCCGCTGAGGTGGCCTGGCAAAGTCCTTTCCAGGAAAAATTCCCATCATGCATCTTGGCAAGAATTCTGCCAAGAAATCTGTCCTCACCAGGATCTGGCCATAAAAAACATCTCCTCCAGCATACTGGTGAGAATCCCGTGGGGAAGTAAAATCTTGGTAGTAGTCCTGGTGAGAACTAAATTCTCACCAAGAAAAAATTATTGCATAGAAATTCCCGCCAAAAAGTTGTACATTCACAAATCTCCGTGAGTATATTAAACCTGTTCTTGAAATAAATTAACTACTTCATGGTTAACCCTGGAAGCAACTGCTGCTCTAAAACTATCATGAGCCATATCTAATTAAGACTCAATTTTTAACGAGCTGTGAAGACAAAATCCCACACATTTAGCTATAAGCATGCAAATCAGGTCTAGACAAACTGGAGCCTTTAAGGACAGTGCCTACTTTTATTCGTGTACACACATTCTGCACATCATGCAAGGAATAGTTTAAGGTGGCTGAATACAGTTTTCAAGTGCCTATGCCTGATTATTCACCATTACTTTTTAACTATTTATGCTTGGGGGCCCATTTTTCACAAGAGTCAAGAGGTTTTATTCTCGCATTTTGGCTAAGGTGTGTGCTGTTACCATGGCAACAGGGCTGGTTGAAAACAACGCTTCAAAAATGGTTTTGGTTTATTAGACTTTTTTCATCATTTGCCCACTACGAATTCACATAAAATCCCTTCTGTCAACACTGCGATATTATGAATACTATGAACACTATGAATGTAAGAAGCATCAGTAATGGTATTAGTATCGTAACTTAAAAAGGGTAAATGTATTGTTTTGTAGAGTAAATTATGCAAATTTTAGTATTGTAAGTAGCATGTGTAATTGCATCGTATTGTTAATTAGAGTAAGTAGTGTTAGTAGTTGTATTACTGTTGTAAAAAAAAATAATAATAATAAAACACTGTGATAGATAAAATGTGACAGTGACACTGTGACAGAGACGGTTTTCGTAATTCGCTGTAAATCGTTTTCACTACATGTTCTGTATTATCAACAATTCCCAATTTCCATATTACAATTTACAATTTCTTTTGCCAAATTTCTTGAAATTCTAACAACTGAATCATTTGAAATCGGCAAGTTCCTGTAAAAGCACTCAGTCTCAATTTTTTGAGCAACTGTGAATGCGCTGCATTTAACAGGGTCCCTTTGGAGAATTTCAGGTGGTACAAAATGTGGACCCCTCAACCTGGAGCCCCTATTGGACCTTCTTTTGGACTCCATTTGGACCCCTTCTGGACCCCTTCTGGACCCCTCCTGGACCCCTTCTGGACCCCCACCCCAACCCCCATTTGGACCCCGTATTCTTTCTTCTGGAAAATAAGGCTCTATTTAATCAGTGGGCAAAATGTGAAGAAATAATGAATTCACGCAGCGTTGTGAATAATATGATGGCTACAGTTAACTGAGTTTATTTTTTTTTATACCTGGTTAAAATTCCCAAATAACTTAACTCGGTTAAAGGTTGGTTATGACGAAACAACGGGTTATGGCTGCATTGCGATAGTTTGTGAAGTGGGTGAGCTCAATTGACGTCATGACGTACTGGATAACCTGACAAAACGACAGACTTTGAGAACCACAGTCTTATTTTCTTGATTCTTTTTCTTTGTTTTTGTGTCCTTTAGTTTCTTTACATTCACGGCTAAGGCAGTCTCTCTTCCTTCTCATGCGCACTATACACGAATTTCCGAGGCAGTTCTTTCAAACATGATGTTGATTTTGTGTGGACATCAGAGTGTTCTCCACTGCTGTCGAATGAATGGCCCTTGAATTTGACTGGAATTCTACTATGCATGACTTTTAAACCACATCAAGTCCTTTCACTAAGAACTTTTCGTATTCTTTCATTTACGACAAAAAAAACACTTGCTTCAGAGCATCTTTATCAACAGAGAAGTGCGAATTATGGCATCTAGAAACCGTGAAATGCTCTCGATCCACAGCTGTTATGTTTGGAAAATGCACTTCACTTAAAATTGTTCATGAATTCATTCATTCATCTGCATTTCTTGCCATTTTAACGAACTGCCGCTTCTCTTTGAAGTACTCCTTTGTTCTTTGCTCAGTTGATCAAAATTTCTCCTTCTAAGGTGAATGAGCGCTTCCTGTTCAGGCCATGGTGCCTTGCAAACTTGACTGATATGATATAGCTGACATATATTAGGAAAAAACTAAAAATCCACTCTAGTAATACAACTGTTTCAAACTGTTGTTACCACTCGCCATGTTCAGTAGAAGATTATGCACTGTTTGTGCCACAGTGAACATCTCACATACAGACCGTGATCACCGACACATTTCATGAAAAAACCAATGCACGGGTTAGACCATGCAGAAAGGTAGTTCAAAATTAACCTAACTCAGTTAAAAAATCTATTGTCCTTCAATTAATTTCCATGGTAACCATTAGCCCGGTTTAAGTTCAATAAACTGCCGAAAATAGTGGCCACTCACGATTATTCGGTAATCGAGTTAATCGTAATTGATTAATTAGAAATAACCCGGTTAACTCTCATAGTATGGCCGAAGCCATTACATTATTCTAGACACAATGCTGCGTAAATTCATTAATTTCTTCACATCTTGCTTGCTGACTAAGTAGACTTCATCATTTTATGTTCTAAGATTAATTATTTAAATCAGGAGCCCATATTTTCTGGAAGTAAAAATGGGGGGTCCAGATGGGAGTCCAGAGAGGGGTCCAGAAGCGGGTCCAGAAGGGAGTCCAGAAGGGAGTCCAGAAGGGAGTCCAGATGGGGTCCAAAAGGGGGTCCAGTAGGGGGTCCAGTAGGTGGTCCAGATTGAGGGGTCCATGTTTTGTACCGACCCGAGACTTTCTGGGTTCTTTGCATCATCACCTCTTCCAACTTACCTTTGTAATAAAAGACTAAAGTCATCAATACATGGTGTTCAATTAGGAAAACAGCACAGATAGTGCAGGCGCTGAGCAAATAAAATGATTGTTGTATCAATGGCATGTTTGTTTTTTCGCAATCCTTGCGCATGTGCTGAATCGCATTAGCACCTTAAATGCCACCCGTGTTGAGGTTGACTAACCCAATCACCTACGCTACCAAGTACAACACTGAAAAGAAAACAAAATTTTCCCACTGTGACCAAATCAAGTTTAACGAACCTGTACTTACACCAGGAACACCAGAATAACAGTATATTGCTAAACACTTAACTATTAACATCTTCCAGCCGAAAAACTAGCTGTTAATCTGTTGAAAATTATACTGAGATCCAACTGTAAACATGTACCTGCAGACAGCGTAGTGCACGCACAAAACAAGTGCGAGAAACGCAAATGTCTTACTTACTGGGGAGGGGAAAGGAAAAAACGTAACACGCACTGTAAAAGTTTTCAAAAAAGATCTGATTTCAATAACTTTAAAAAACGCATGGTTACCTCTACATTTCACGTCATGAAATGGAAGTGGCAAGCCTATTCAATAAGTGATTAGTTTCTGGTGGTGAGCAAAAGGTATTTAGACTGCATTTTAGCTGAACCAGAGGAAGGCTGTCAGAGATGCTAAAAGCACTGTTGCAATGATTTGGTTATTAAGCGCATACCAAAAATGGTTTTTATGGTACTATTTACCATACAGTTTTAAGATCTTTACAAATGTGTTTGCTTTTTGGTATGTAAAGGCAAATTCTAAAGAAATCTGTGAAAAAATATTCTTTCCTTCCTTTTTCAGAAAACTGCTGATGTCAGCATTTTTGTAAAGATTCAAGGCTAATTATCTCAATAGATTCCAATAGCCCCTGCAAAGGGCTATAGGAATCCATTGAGATAATTATCTCAGGTGGATTCCAATAGCCCTTGCAAAGATCTACTTTTCCCGCATGGTCCTAACCTGGTGCAAAAACCTTTCTTTTTAGTAGGCACCATCCTTAAATGGCTTCTCTGTTTTGAGATTTTTGCATGATTTTAATTAGAAGTCGGTCGATGGAAACAAGGCTTGGCTGTAATATAAACACTCACTTGGCCTCAAAAATTTCTTTTTTGTGACAGCATCTGGCAAATCTCTAGCATAGTTCTTTCCTCAGGCCACAAAAATAGCAAACATGTTCTAGGAATCTTCCCGCTTGGCTGACTAAAATCACATGGGACAGTAGAAGAGAGTTTGAGTGCTTCAAGTGCTGCCAAAAGTCCACAGTCAGAAAAGAGCTGGAAAATTGTTGGTTTGCCTGGTTTGTTTACTTCAAAGCTTTAGTAATGAGCTTACTGTAGGGAAAAGCTCCTTTGTTGAAGTTGATGTAAATTGCGTGCCAGCTGTTGAGCATCAAAACGTGAACATTAGTTGTGCAAGAAATTTCACAAAGACTTCTCCAAGCTAGCCTTGCTGGGTATGGTACGTATTTCCAGATAAAATTAACATGAAGTATCCATCATTTGAAACATCGCTTTTTGTTCAACACACTCATATTCCGATGGTCAAGATTCAACATTCAACACAACATTCAAGGATCTTTCAAGATTCAAGACAATTCAAGAGGACATTGAATATTCAACACAATGTCAATTAACATTCAAAACATCGTTCAAAATTAAATGAGAAATTCACAATATGAAAAGCCTTTAGCCACTCAAGACCATTCAACATGAAAGAGTGCATTTGACATGCTGAAGGACATTCGACATGTCTGCAAAGTTTAATTATATTTCTGGTTCTACATTGTACATAATTTCCACTTGTTTATTTATTTTTGATTTTGTCAGCTGTTTAATTTTTTGTTTTTATTGTTACCTTTAGGCAGCCCTTCAACAAGGGAAGTAGTTCCTGTTAAGGGTTCTCCTGTCAATACTTGTAGTCTTTATAATAAAAACATTCGAATCAACCACGATGGACTGGTTCCCAGAGGCCCTTGCAGTCCTTCTTACCCTACCAAGGGAATGGGAACCAGCAGCTTACAGGCAACTGTATTCCCACAAATGTGGGGTTACATGGAAAACATGGGACCGGGGTCCCAGGGTCCCAGGGTATGGGATCCTAGGATAAATATCAAACATTAGGACATATTGAACAGTATTTTGTCTCTACAAGTGAAAAAATGAAGTCAAGTGTACTCAGTCTGCACGGTCTGCATGGTCTGCGTTTTGGGGTGACCGGGATTTCGGTGCCTTTTGGCACTGGCGCTACTCAGTGCTGCCACTCCATTCGTAAATCAGTTTGCGATGCGAGCAATCCATTCATATAAAATCAATGTGCAGTGCATATACACAAGAGTGGAGGTTATTGGTGCTGAAATTAATGCAAGCAACTATACTGGGCCGACTTCCGTTTTATTTGAAACAACAGCCGAATTTATCTTGGAACTGCCATTTCAGTGCTACTGTATTTTCTCAATTAATAACCCTTTTTAAAAAACCCCTTAGGTTTTGTTTCAAAATTGGCCCGGTTGGCCCAGGCATATTTTATTCTTACATTCCTACATTTTAGCCAAGGCTAAGAGGAAAGGCAGCTCTGGAGACGACAATATGGCTTTGTATATCCAACGAAAGTTACAACCAGGATATCTTTTTGTCGTCAAACAAAAAACAAGAGAAGCCTATAACCAGTGTAACTTAAGTGGCACTTTATGACATTTTGGTGGCCCACTGACGATCACATTAAAAGGGGTTTATTCACTCTAGTCCTGACTTTCGTTTCATTTTATTTACATTTAGAAAACAGTCCTAAGAAAATACACATGCTGATTGGTTAAAAATCGTGTTCCTATAACTCGATGGAAACACAGAACTAGCATGAGCTGTTGAGGTAATGATGGTGTGAGCAAAGAGAATTTACATTTTGATGATCAAAGTAAACGAGTTGTTTTTCTTTTTTTGTCGTGGTCTTTTCTAGAAGAAATAGAAAACATGTTGTCCGTGTTTCTATTGAATCATAGAAACACTTGTGAAAGGTTGGGAGAGCTCAAAAAAGCTGTGGAAACACTCGCCTGCGGCTTGTGTTCCCACAGCATTTCTCATTCTGCCAAAATTCTACTCGTGTTTCTAAAACTCGATAGAAACATGGTACAATGTGTTTTCTATTTCTTAAGTAATGTTATATTATTCTATGTAAATACTGTCTAGGCAAGCCATAAGTGAGTTAACTAAAACCTAGTGTACCTCTGTCAGAATTAACTTCTGAAGTCTGCCGGCTGACAGGACTGCAAGAATCTTCTTCAAATTCACTTAGACTAAAATTACTACTAGTTGCTGGCCCATAACTTGGAAGACATCTCTGGCTTGGTCTCCGACTTGCTGCGACATAAAATTTAAATCTTTATATTCACGTACTGCCAAATGCTTTTATTACTTTAATCAAGTTTGTGAATATACTTCAAAGACAAGTCTATCTTAGCTTTTTAGATTTGAAGATGTTGTGCTCTCCAAACTCTCAAGTGATGAGATCAAGATTTCTATTTAAACAATAGAGTGTTTCTGTCGAGGAACTATCAGCTGACAGTTGCCCCACAGAAATTTGATGTTCTTAAAACAAATATTTGCCCGAGAAGCGATGCTTCGAGGGCAAATATGCTAGTTTTAAGAACATCAAATTTCCAAGGGGCAACTATAACAGCGATAGTTCCGAGACATAAACACTCTATTGTCTTTATTGTTCACCACTAAATTTTCTTCTGTGTGCCAGTTCAAAAATCATATCGAATTATTTTCAACTTTGTTAGATGAAAGCCGTGGAAGCCAAATGTAAAATTTAAAAAGGAAAATAAACAAAACCCACTTAATACAATTTCATTTGTTTATTGTTTTTATAAGCTTGCTTGTTTACAGAAAATTTTTCACGGACGAATACTATCCATCCAGGTGTTTTCCTGGGATAGGCACTATGGACTGAAAGTGTCTCTCCATGGATGAACACTATCACGTCAAGTGATCAATTTAAACCAATAAGAATTGGAGAAAATTTAGCGGTGAACTATAAGAGGTGATAGATGATGAGGCACAAAGCTGAATCAACTATCACCTCAAAGAAATCAAGAGCGAATAATCTGATGACTGTTGTCATAGAATTCTAACTTAAATTTCCGTCAAATAACCATTTCCCATTCTTTCTTTACATTGCACTGAACGTACACGTACCACTTTACAAAAATTGTCCAGACTGAATTGTGGTTTGTAATTTGCTGTTGTGTATGCAAGCTCTGGTACGTTTATGTTGTTTTGAAAGTCACGAAACAGTGAAATCAATTTTCTTAATTCTTTTAGTTTTTCACTCAAACCTTGTTCTGCCAGATCTCTAGGTTGTTTTCCTCTATGACTGGTTGCTGAGGCTGTTGCTTTATCAGCTAAAACAGTCAGATCTGAATCCAGTTGCCTATCCCCTCCAATTGCTGTGAAAAGTAAGACATTCAACAATACGATTATAATAACCCTTTAGTACCCGTAGAAGTTATATTATTTACACGTTTAACATGGCTCAGGGGGTTTAAAATGTTGCATTTTAGTATAGCCTCTGCAGGTACATGTAATTACAATGACAGTGTTCAGCTATAGTCTTGACTTACATTGTATTTTGTTTAATGTTACTAATAATTTTTTCAATATATTTTCTACCACTTGATCATGAGAAAAACATACACTCAGTTACATTAAGTGTATTTCTGAAGCTGGGTGTACCTCTGTCAAAACTAGCTTCTGAGGTTTGTAGACTGACAAAATCCTCTTCAACTTCACCTCCACTGCAAGTTGCTGCTGCCAGAGGAGTCCTTGCCTCTGGCAGATGATTTTGCAGACCTCCTTGTCTCCTCTGTCGCAACTCACTGGCAGAACTTTGTACTTCACAATCAGTCTGCTGATCCCTCCTATCAGTTGAGCCATTAGTGACTCTCTTGTTTGGTTGCTTTCTACTACCTCTAAACTGTGACACTGATGACCATGCATTTTCAAATCTCACAGGAGTTGCTCCTGTCAAAATAGTCATAAAACAACCCCCAAAAAATGATTATTAGTGAGGGATTTTAGAATGTTTGTGGCCAACTGTGTACTGCAGGATAGGTATTACAGGGTTTTGACATAAGGGGCCAGGCACTGGGCAAATTGACAAGCTGTATATGAAGAGAACTTTGTACCCAGAGGCTGCTTCATCAATATTTTAATAACTGCAGATGCGGTCTCCTGCTATTTTCAAGTGTGTTAATTAAACAGTCCTTAAAAATAATTAACAGCTTTTTTTAAAATTAACTAAACCATACTTTTGTTTGTTTAAGTTAGTATGTGTTATTTCTCATGTATCTTCAAGTCAAAAAGTAAACGGCCCAATGATAAGCATGCATAACAGACATCCTTTCACCTTGGTTGTAATTCAATCAATTATTTATAATTACCTTGAAATGAAGTTGGCCCATCACTCAAATCTTGTGAATCCAACAAATCCCTGTGTTCTTTCCCCCTCTGATCATGAGCGATTCCTGAAGCTGAATTATCTGATAAAACAGTCAGACTTCAGTTAACTAGCTTATATCTAATCTGTCTTCTTGCATAACTGTATATCTTTCTCTTCATCAGTAGTTAAATCAGTTATTTACATTGAAATGAACTTTGATCATCACTCAAACCTTGTCCTGCCAGATCTCTAGGTTGTTTCCCTCTCTGACTGATTGCTGAGGTTTTTGTTCCACAAAAAACAGTCAGACCTAAATCCAGTTGCCTGTCCCCTCCAATTGCTGTGAAAAGTAAGACATCAACAATAGTAGAATTATTATAACCTTTTAGTACCTGTATAAGTTATAGCGAAGATCCGGAGGCCCAAAGGGCAGCCAAGCGGAGCCCCATACCCATATCGGAAAGAAAAGAAAACCCGTGAATAATTGATTTTCTAATATGGTTATCATGGCTAACAGCATTACTCATGGGCATGTGCGCACGATGACAATGGCAGAATCCTGCAAGATGGTGGCCATAATCCATGCAGCCTTGGTTTACAATGTACTTCTTTGATATTGGACATCCATGTTATGGTCAATTGACACCTGTTTAGAGCTCATCAAAATCATGTGTTGTTTTTTAAGGTTAACCACTGACCAAGTCCTGGTTTTTGGATTGGATTGCAGGCTCATGTCAGGTTAACTTATTGTAATCAGGGTGGGATTGTTTGTAAGCCAGCCAACCCAGGATTAAATGTTAAACGAAGTATAATTTTCTTTTGTATTCCAATGTTTTGCACTGATTTTGCTTTGTGTTGTCTGAGTTTAGTCAAACTCAAAACAGAAGGACAAACAATAAAACCAGAAAACCTCACTGCAAAGTTACAAAACTCAAGTCAAAATTATCCCTTATCCTGGGTTAGCTTAATTGGGCTTTGAACAACCTGCCCAAGGAGCTCCGCTTTTACGTTTGGCAAAATCTAAATATTATTTTTACATGTCTAAGATGGCTCAGGGGGCCAAAAAGCAAAATCCACCGATCAGAGAGGCTTTTGTGCTGGTGCAGTATTGAACTAAATTCTTGCACAGAAATTCCCACCAAGAAGTTCCACATTTTCGTGGCCAAAACGCAAATCCCGCTGAGGGTTCGTTTAACCTGATCTTGAGATAAACTACTTCAAGGTTGACCCTGGAAGCAAGTACTGCTCTAAAACTATTGTGAGCCATATCTAGTTAAAGTTTTGATATTTATTACGACCCAATCTCAAAAGTTTGGTATGTTGAAATGAGCTGTGAAGACGAAATCCCAGCTAAACTACAATCAGGCAACCACAGACTTAGAATCGAAACTGGACAACACTGCATCCCTAAATTACCTGAATCTCTTAGGATTTGTCAATACTGCCACTCTAACCAAATTGAGGACAAAAACCATTTGTTATTTCTTTGTGATCGTTATAAAACTATTAGGCAACAAATGACAAGTGACATTGTACTAAAATACCCATCATTCGATCTTTTGAACAATACTGATAAAACTCTCTTCCTATTTAATAATGTCGATTCATTTATTTGTAAGAAACTAGGTTATTTTGTATATGAGGCATTGCATATACGAGAAACTTGTAATCCTATTTAATTTAATGTGATTAGTGGTATTGTTATCTTTATATAATTTCTTTCTTCTATATATTTTATATATTGTTATCTTAGGTAATACCATCCATATACATGGCAATACCAATAAATTCTTGTTGTTGTTGTGTTTATCTATAAACATGCCGTTCATGTATAGACGAACTGGAGCTTTTAATGGTGACGACTTAAGCCACATGCTCTTAAACGTGCTTTATAGTTTATAGAAGAAAGATAAGATATTTGTTGACTTTCGTGTGTGTAGCTTCTTTGTCTTGAAATTTCTGCATTATTTTAATCAGAAGTCCATAGATAGGATTACCTCTCCCAGTCCTTATTTTACAAGGGTAAACATTCAGGACCATGTAAAATCTATTTACATTGTACTGAACGTACAGGTACCACTTAACAAAAATTGTCTAGACTGAATTATGGTTTGTAATTTGCTGTTGTGTATGCAAGCTCTGGTACGTTTATGTTGTTTTGAAAGTCACGAAACAGTGAAATCAATTTTCTTAATTCTTTTAGTTTTTCACTCAAACCTTGTTCTGCCAGATCTCTAGGTTGTTTTCCTCTATGACTGGTTGCTGAGGCTGTTGCTTTATCAGCTAAAACAGTCAGATCTGAATCCAGTTGCCTATCCCCTCCAATTGCTGTGAAAAGTAAGACATTCAACAATACGATTATAATAACCCTTTAGTACCCGTAGAAGTTATATTATTTACACGTTTAACATGGCTCAGGGGGTTTAAAATGTTGCATTTTAGTATAGCCTCTGCAGGTACATGTAATTACAATGACAGTGTTCAGCTATAGTCTTGACTTACATTGTATTTTGTTTAATGTTACTAATAATTTTTTCAATATATTTTCTACCACTTGATCATGAGAAAAACATACACTCAGTTACATTAAGTGTATTTCTGAAGCTGGGTGTACCTCTGTCAAAACTAGCTTCTGAGGTTTGTAGACTGACAAAATCCTCTTCAACTTCACCTCCACTGCAAGTTGCTGCTGCCAGAGGAGTCCTTGCCTCTGGCAGATGATTTTGCAGACCTCCTTGTCTCCTCTGTCGCAACTCACTGGCAGAACTTTGTACTTCACAATCAGTCTGCTGATCCCTCCTATCAGTTGAGCCATTAGTGACTCTCTTGTTTGGTTGCTTTCTACTACCTCTAAACTGTGACACTGATGACCATGCATTTTCAAATCTCACAGGAGTTGCTCCTGTCAAAATAGTCATAAAACAACCCCCAAAAAATGATTATTAGTGAGGGATTTTAGAATGTTTGTGGCCAACTGTGTACTGCAGGATAGGTATTACAGGGTTTTGACATAAGGGGCCAGGCACTGGGCAAATTGACAAGCTGTATATGAAGAGAACTTTGTACCCAGAGGCTGCTTCATCAATATTTTAATAACTGCAGATGCGGTCTCCTGCTATTTTCAAGTGTGTTAATTAAACAGTCCTTAAAAATAATTAACAGCTTTTTTTAAAATTAACTAAACCATACTTTTGTTTGTTTAAGTTAGTATGTGTTATTTCTCATGTATCTTCAAGTCAAAAAGTAAACGGCCCAATGATAAGCATGCATAACAGACATCCTTTCACCTTGGTTGTAATTCAATCAATTATTTATAATTACCTTGAAATGAAGTTGGCCCATCACTCAAATCTTGTGAATCCAACAAATCCCTGTGTTCTTTCCCCCTCTGATCATGAGCGATTCCTGAAGCTGAATTATCTGATAAAACAGTCAGACTTCAGTTAACTAGCTTATATCTAATCTGTCTTCTTGCATAACTGTATATCTTTCTCTTCATCAGTAGTTAAATCAGTTATTTACATTGAAATGAACTTTGATCATCACTCAAACCTTGTCCTGCCAGATCTCTAGGTTGTTTCCCTCTCTGACTGATTGCTGAGGTTTTTGTTCCACAAAAAACAGTCAGACCTAAATCCAGTTGCCTGTCCCCTCCAATTGCTGTGAAAAGTAAGACATCAACAATAGTAGAATTATTATAACCTTTTAGTACCTGTATAAGTTATAGCGAAGATCCGGAGGCCCAAAGGGCAGCCAAGCGGAGCCCCATACCCATATCGGAAAGAAAAGAAAACCCGTGAATAATTGATTTTCTAATATGGTTATCATGGCTAACAGCATTACTCATGGGCATGTGCGCACGATGACAATGGCAGAATCCTGCAAGATGGTGGCCATAATCCATGCAGCCTTGGTTTACAATGTACTTCTTTGATATTGGACATCCATGTTATGGTCAATTGACACCTGTTTAGAGCTCATCAAAATCATGTGTTGTTTTTTAAGGTTAACCACTGACCAAGTCCTGGTTTTTGGATTGGATTGCAGGCTCATGTCAGGTTAACTTATTGTAATCAGGGTGGGATTGTTTGTAAGCCAGCCAACCCAGGATTAAATGTTAAACGAAGTATAATTTTCTTTTGTATTCCAATGTTTTGCACTGATTTTGCTTTGTGTTGTCTGAGTTTAGTCAAACTCAAAACAGAAGGACAAACAATAAAACCAGAAAACCTCACTGCAAAGTTACAAAACTCAAGTCAAAATTATCCCTTATCCTGGGTTAGCTTAATTGGGCTTTGAACAACCTGCCCAAGGAGCTCCGCTTTTACGTTTGGCAAAATCTAAATATTATTTTTACATGTCTAAGATGGCTCAGGGGGCCAAAAAGCAAAATCCACCGATCAGAGAGGCTTTTGTGCTGGTGCAGTATTGAACTAAATTCTTGCACAGAAATTCCCACCAAGAAGTTCCACATTTTCGTGGCCAAAACGCAAATCCCGCTGAGGGTTCGTTTAACCTGATCTTGAGATAAACTACTTCAAGGTTGACCCTGGAAGCAAGTACTGCTCTAAAACTATTGTGAGCCATATCTAGTTAAAGTTTTGATATTTATTACGACCCAATCTCAAAAGTTTGGTATGTTGAAATGAGCTGTGAAGACGAAATCCCAGCTAAACTACAATCAGGCAACCACAGACTTAGAATCGAAACTGGACAACACTGCATCCCTAAATTACCTGAATCTCTTAGGATTTGTCAATACTGCCACTCTAACCAAATTGAGGACAAAAACCATTTGTTATTTCTTTGTGATCGTTATAAAACTATTAGGCAACAAATGACAAGTGACATTGTACTAAAATACCCATCATTCGATCTTTTGAACAATACTGATAAAACTCTCTTCCTATTTAATAATGTCGATTCATTTATTTGTAAGAAACTAGGTTATTTTGTATATGAGGCATTGCATATACGAGAAACTTGTAATCCTATTTAATTTAATGTGATTAGTGGTATTGTTATCTTTATATAATTTCTTTCTTCTATATATTTTATATATTGTTATCTTAGGTAATACCATCCATATACATGGCAATACCAATAAATTCTTGTTGTTGTTGTGTTTATCTATAAACATGCCGTTCATGTATAGACGAACTGGAGCTTTTAATGGTGACGACTTAAGCCACATGCTCTTAAACGTGCTTTATAGTTTATAGAAGAAAGATAAGATATTTGTTGACTTTCGTGTGTGTAGCTTCTTTGTCTTGAAATTTCTGCATTATTTTAATCAGAAGTCCATAGATAGGATTACCTCTCCCAGTCCTTATTTTACAAGGGTAAACATTCAGGACCATGTAAAATCTATTTACATTGTACTGAACGTACAGGTACCACTTAACAAAAATTGTCTAGACTGAATTATGGTTTGTAATTTGCTGTTGTGTATGCAAGCTCTGGTACGTTTATGTTGTTTTGAAAGTCACGAAACAGTGAAATCAATTTTCTTAATTCTTTTAGTTTTTCACTCAAACCTTGTTCTGCCAGATCTCTAGGTTGTTTTCCTCTATGACTGGTTGCTGAGGCTGTTGCTTTATCAGCTAAAACAGTCAGATCTGAATCCAGTTGCCTATCCCCTCTAAAACATACACTCAGTTATTCTAAGTGTATTTCTGAAGCTGGGTGTACCTCTGTCAAAACTAGCTTCTGAAGTTTGTGGACCGACAAACTCCTCTTCAACTTCACGTCCACTGCAAGTTGCTGCTGCCAGAGGAGTCCTTGCCTCTGGCAGATGATTTTGCAGACCTCCCTGTCTCCTGTGTCGCAACTCACTGGCAGAACTTTGTACCTCACAGTCAGTCTGCTGATCCCTCCTATCAGCCGACCCATTAGTGACTCTCTTGTCTGGTTGTCTTATACTACCTCTAAACTGTGACGGTGATGACCACTCATTTCCACATCTCACAGGAGTTGCTCCTGTCAAAATATTGTCATAAAACAACACCCAAAAAATAATTATTAGTGTGGGATTTTAGAATGTGGCCAACTGTGTACTGCAGGATAGATATTACAGGGATTTGACATAAGGGGCCAGGTACTGGGCAAATTGACAAGCTATATATGAAGAGAACTTTGTACCCAAGGGCTGCTTCATCAATATTTTAATAACTGCAGATGCCCTCTCATGCTATTTTCAAGTGTCTTAATTAAACAGTCATTAAAAATAATTAAAAGCTTTTGTTTAAAATTAACTAAACCATACTTTTGGTTTGTTATAGTTAGTATGTGTTATTTCTCATGAATCTTCAAGTCGCAAAGTAAACGGCCCAATCATAGTTTGCAAAAACAAAATATGTTCTGCATGAAAGCCAATACTATGAGAAAAGATGGCAAAGCTTGACATCCAGTATCATTTCTCCACACATTCTTTAAAAATCTTCCACTCTTATTTCTGCAAGCCTTAACTATTCACTAATAGCATAATAAATTACAACATAATATTAAAAAAAAAACCACACATAATAAATTATAATGCATAATTTATATTTTTAATACGTAAAAACCATTCTACTTCAACAAATAAAATCAGGTTAACAAGAATCCCAGAGGACTAAGAACTAAAAATTTAATTTGATTAATAACTTAAAAACAAAGTCCTACAGATGACTAACACGCCAGTTATGCATGCATAACAGACATCTTTCACCTTGGTTGTAATTCAATCAGTTATTTATAATTACCTTATAATTAATTATCTCTAGCTTAGAAGTTTTTGAAGCACGACTACGAACTGCAGCTTTCTTCATTGAAAGCAATCCCAATGGCAACTTGGCAGTCCCTAGCCACTTACCTCGGGTTCCAAAGGATAGGAAATGGAAACCTCCAATGTCAAGGTACCCAGAACTTGAACTATTTTTAGCTAATGTACAGTGTGATCTTATTAATCCTGAGAACATTAGACAAGCTAGAGATAACCTTTCTAAAAAAGAACGGGTGGCGCTTTAAGAACTTAAAAATTCTAATGTAGTGATTTGTATACAAGACAAAGGCTCTCGATTTGTATTAATTGATGAGAAAGAGTACGAGGAAAAAATGTTTGGTCAGCTCAACAACCAGTTACATTATAAATCTTTGCAATCGGATCCTACCTCTAAGCATTTGGCATTAGTAGAGAGTTGGTGTTCTAAATGGCTAGGAAAGGGTGAGATT